ATTTCTGCAAAATTACTAGCCTCTGTTGAATTGGCAGCCCCTCTGAACCATTACATCATATGTTTAAGAGTCATCCTCAATAATCATTGGTCTTTCTAACTCTCATCAAATTCTTACTCTAGTCAAAGAAACATACGAGACCAATCAGAGTCCTCGACACTCAATTTTCCAACATAGAACTTTTTAATCCACTTATCCTTGTGCCCTGTGATACACTAAAACCTGCCATTCTGGATTTTTCTTTGTGGCCTTGGTCAAAAATTTGAGTATTCACTCAACTTGACAGAGCAACCTATTCATAATCTGTTTGGGGTCTTGGTAGCCAATGAACAGTGATCCCTATCCAAGAGTCCTCTAGAATACGCAAGTGTAAATGCCACAATTTCAGTTCTTTAATGTACCTACATCCTCATATCTTGTCTTTTTTTTTTTGATGGGGGTGGGGGGTTTGGGGGGGTAATCTCTCATCTAATAAACCTTGATTAAAGCATCCAGAGTCATCAAGACTGTTGCATCCAATCCCCAGAATTTATTGTTTTGTGTTCTTCCACACATGGGAATATGGCTGGAAATGGGACTAACATGATCTGTACGGGTTGCCGATGTCAGGCAAACAAAGTAAAAAAAGGGAAGTCTCAACACCTCTGATGGAGGTGTAGACGCTCCATTTCAGAGGTGTCAGCTTTCGAATAATGGGGTATGGGCCCTTCTATTCCTTGAGTTCTCATTTTTCAAGAATAAAGGTTTCTAATTTCCAAGAAAGCATTATCATTTATTAGCCTTTATTTAAAATTTCAAACTGACTTAAAGAGGATGATTAAATAACTTCAACATATAGCTTCAAACAGACGAGCATATGATGGATAATAACCGTTAAAAAAAGGAAGAGATAATGGTAATCAACTTTCCTATAAAAAGAAGAAAATAGGTAACAGATTAGGAGGAAGAGTTATGTATGCAAGTATTTCACATTGAGAAACATAATTCAAAAGAAGCAATACTTATGAGAAGGACTTACAATGACTTTTTATATATATATGGATTCTTGTAGTTGGGTGTTGTACCTGTGTTGGACACGTATCAACGAGCATATGCATATTCTTCTGGATTTTTCTTGTTTATTAACCATTGATTACATCATTTTAGAGGCTTGATCTTCTTTTTAATTCTAAGGAGACCTGTGAACTTTGTAAATGTTTATGGAACTTGGAAAGATCTGTGGTTTCAGCCAATTAAGGTATAATTTGATTCTTTCTTGCTACTCATTATGAAGTGGAATACTTGTTGGATATTGTTCTCTTCACAATATAGCCGTGTTGTTGATTCCTCTCTTCATGGAATGAGCAAATTGGCTCCCTGTACTCTTGTAAGACACTAACACACGTGCCCATGTCCATGCAATGATGTGTAATATTGCTTGTACAAATATCGAAATATAAGGTATAACTGATAGAATAAGTTAAAGATAAATATGTTGTTAATTTAGCATAATATTTACTAATCATAAGGTTCAGATGATGATGTTGATTTACCAGTCATCAAATATTTCATATGTGCACTATAAACTTTTAATGACCCCTGTTTTGATATATTTTCATATTATTTTTTTATAATTTAATTTTTCATAATTTTTCATTTTTATGCAGGAAATATTTATTTTTTATACATTTTACATTTTAATTTTGTGTTACACACATGCTGGCCTTGTTTCAAGTTGCATGGTGGATGTCATGTTTTTAACATTGACATTCATGATGGTTTCTATGTATAAACTTAGTCCTCAATATGCTTGTGATACATGATCATTCCTTTCCTTCTCATTGCATCCTGGGTCCTCTATATGTAGCTCATCTATTTCCTTGTAAAAAAAAAGTAAAAAATTTGTGTTGCACATATGCAAACATGTGTATGCATTGCACAGCATGCAATAACTAATTTGATTTTTCATGGTTCCAAGTGGTATTTGCGAGAGGTGGATCTTGCATTAGCTAATTGGACATGTAAAGAGTTACATCAAATAATGAAACCAGAAAGAAGAAACAATGAAATCCAATAAAGGAATTTATTTTTATTGGTTGTATTTTCCATATTTTGCATGTATCTTTTAATCTGAAAAAAGATAATTGACTTAAAGTTGTTGAAACTATACCGTTGCTATTTGGACCAAAGTACTTGTAATAAAAAAATCCTGAATCACTTCTTTCTTTGGCTATGCATCTGGGGTTTTACGGCATCCCCACCCCTTCTATTGCTGTTTAAAACTAGAATTTTCCATTGGTGGTATCTGTGGCGTTAAACATCACATCATTATAATCACTCTCTTCGAAAATTTTCACACAGCATTCCAGATTCTTGAGTGATTTGTGTCTTTTTGTGCTAATACATCCTTGACCATGTGGCGTTCCCTAAATGTATTCTTGAATTCAATTGCTTAGAACTTTGTGCTTAGTTGACGTCAATGACTTGCTTTCCTCCTTAGCTTCCACCCCAGCTCATTAACAATTTTGGACCAATTCATCCCTAGAAAGAATTCATATCATTGATAACTCATTGTCACTCAAAGAATAGCTACTACTATAATATGAGGTTATGCCTCATTATGGGACCCGTCTAGCAGACCTGCAAAGGCACCCATAAAATATCCTCGTGAGTTGAAGTATATACCCCCAAATCCAGTTCTACCATTTAATTTTGATCTCTCGGCGTTGGACTTATCTTCATCTGATGGTTGCCATTTACAATCTGTGATTGGGACCAGTTGTGGTTTTCTATGTTTGATGTTCCGAGAGTCCAGATTTTCCAGTTCATGCCTATTAGAGTGTCCAGTACATTCTGTTGGTGATCGACCTCTTTCCTGCACCTACTTCTCTATGTTACCTCTTTGAGTGTTGTTTTACTGGAGAAATTTTGCATCTTATTTCTTCAGATGGTACCAAAGGCACGGTACTTATCCAGAGATAATATACCTGCCCTTTTGAGAATAGCAGGTCCATGCAGGCTTCTATTTCCTCATCGAGTTTCAGTATTACTTTCCATGTTTTTGTTAACCGAGACAGGATGGATCTCCATATCTGTTGAGTAAAGCTTAAATTAGCTTGGCTCTGCTAGCACATCAAAGCTTCCTTTAACCTTCTCCCAGAAACTGGCTAACTTTGAGATCTTTACCAAGGCCTGATGTTCTCAATGTCCATGCCTTGTATGTTTCCAAAGGCCACTCTTGGTGTTGGGATTGATCTAGAAATCCTCGATAAGCAAACAAATTCTCTTTTAGAGAGGCAAGGTACCTTTGCGGGTGCATGAACACATACTTTTTGCAACCCCGATGTGCAACCAAACCCCTCCTTTTGGGTGTCTAGTGAGGCATGCATACCTTTGCTGGCCCATGAACATGTACTCGTGCCATTCCCTATGAGCAAGCAAACTCCTTCCTTCAAAGTTTCTAGTGAGACATACCTCTGCAGGTCTGTGAATGTGTACTTGTCCCATCCCCTATGAGCAAAAGAATGCCCTCCTTTAGGGTTTATAGTGAGGTATAGACACCTTTGCAGACCAATGAAGATGTGCTCATCCCATCCCCTATGGGCGAATGAACTCGCTCCATTAGGGTATCTAGTGAGGCATAGATAGCATTGCACGCCATAAACATTTAATTATCCTCTCAGCTTGTCAGATTTAGGAAAAGAATGTGGTCAGTAATATTGAATAATTAGCAATAATGACCATCGCATTAGAACTTATGTAATATTTAGGAAAAGGATGTTGTTTTGTGGACAAATAGTGGGAAGTAAAAATAAAATATTGCCAAAACATTTTGCAATAAATGCACAAGGACGTAGAGAGAGAGGAAGCCTAAGAGGATATTTCTTCAAGATTTCTTTTTTTCCTTTCTATAGTTAGCCCAAAGGTTTTTTTTTCCCCTCTTTGACAGGTAACCTAAAAGGAAGTTAGTTGCATCATTATATGTATGTGATAGCTTGGCAAAAACATAATTGAGAGCAGTTATCAAAAAAAAAAAAAAAAAAAAAATCAAACAAACGTAATTGTGAGCATTTTGGTTTTTCTGTTGTAATAGTTGTGAGAATGTATTAAGCTTGAATGGTAGCGACTTCCAAGCGACCCCTTTGGATATTGCTTTTTTAAGTAGTTTTACTATATTAATGGACATGAATGGCACATCTATTCATAAAAGGAAATCACAGCGAGAAGCATTAATGTCTAGTGCCAAAAAGAAGAGGCAAGAAGTAATCGAAGTTTAACTTATCAGGAAAAAACCAAGAATTCAATGTTTGGCAATTTTTTTTATTCACACAAAGAGGATGATCATGAAGTCGTAGAACAAAGTCTTTTGTTTATGGAATGAAGATCACAATAAGACTTTTATCTTAAAAACTAATGGATGGTTTTTTTATAGAAAATTCGGATGATTTCAATAGGCTACTTGAGATCGCATTAAAAATTTTCTCACCCAAGAATCATGGAACTGTCAATGTTTTATGCTGATGCATTTGTGTGATGTTTTCCGTATTTGCCAAATTCATTACTAGCATCTTATAGTTCTTAAGTAAAATCCGCTCCAGTCCATTAGGACCCATTTTGAAGGACTCTACAGGAGGAACGCTACACCTCAACGTTCCTTTGATGACAACAGATGGTTGATGATGCATTACTATACAAGCCGTATGCTATATGCTATCGTAGTATATTTCCCTGGTTTCTTACATATATCAAAAAGCATTCTATGATGTATCACACATTATATATATCATCTCCACCATCCATAGTCAGTGACAGTGGAGAAGAGCCATGTTTTCTCTTGAGCAGACAATGGTAGCTTTGAGCTCTCCACTCTCCTTTATTGGTATGTACAGAGTAGATGACATGCATCATGGTATAATATGACTCCTTATTTTTCACCAATTTTTATCTATGTTGGAGTCCTAGTTCCCTTATTGCTGAAATTGACCTGCAAATCTTGTTTACTTTCCCCTGTGAGTCCACAGGTTGAGCCTGTGACAACGAGTCATGTGATGTCAGAAGGTGCATACATATTGTTCTACTCCAGGTAAAAAAAAACCTTCATTTTTTCTTTCTTTTTCCTCATTTCTTTATCATGCATGGTTCATTTAAAAAGCTGCTCGTCCCAACTTTGATTTGGGTTATTTTTTTTGACAGGTCCTTTCCTCGACCGCCAAGAATTTATGCTGAGAAAAGTACCACTTCTCATTCCTCCCCTTCCTTGAAGCCTTGCCCACTTTGTCCCGAAAGCTCTCCAAGACACAAGCATAGCAAACCCCCTAGTTACATTCACCCCACAACTGCTCAAAAGCCAGACAGTAAAAACAGCTGTATAAGTAGCCAAACCAGGATCTCACCAAGCATAGATTCTAGTGATTATGCATTCAGTGATGGAGTGCTCTTTACGAGCTCCGATGATGCTTCTTTTACCACAGAGAGTACAAGAGACTCGACTAGCACAATGGATTATTCTGAGGCTTTTGGCTTTGACCCCACTTCGACCTTCTTAAGTAGCCTCTATTATTGGCCAGACTATTCCTATAAACCGGTCTCCAATATGAAGGCCACAGAATGCAAAATACAGACACGATTCTTCTTTGAAAACAAAGGTCAAGTTTTGAATTTCAGTAATGAGGAAAGGAAGCAAGAGGAGGTAACTGACTCTTTCCTTGGACCTCTGGCCTCAGCTGGTAAGTGCAGTGTTGGTGTGGGTCATGATAGCAGCCTTAAGTCTAGATTTTTCTATAATTCAGATTGTTGTGGACATTGATCAGTTACATTATGGAGTTTTAGGCATAACCACCTTTGTTGTTCTTTTAATTATATCTCAAGAATGGGTGTGCCTCATTTGTTTTTTTAAGTGAAATGGGGCCATTTCTGATCCAATTTAAGCTTTTGGGGGTTACTGATAGTATCCTTCTCACTCCATCTGGAGTGAGCCTTAAGTGGAGCAACTGTAAAGTTCTCTCTTCTTTTTTTTTCTTTAATATATATTATGGGTTTTTTGGGATGCCCAACATGTTGGTAGATTGTTCAGAAAACTTGATGCTTTATGTATATCCTGGGAATAGTATCATGAAAGACCAACTATTAATTTTTTTATTTTTTAAATCTTGAGCTATGAACTCTCTCTCTCTAACAATTGGATTGTATTGTAGTTCTCTGTTTTGGACTTGCGAATGCAGCGTTCCTTTTCAGAATGAGAGTGAATTTTGACTTAACAAAATTTGGGACTAATCTTCTTTCGTTAATTCGAGGCTGGGTTTTGCTCCACATATGAAATGCATGTGAAGGGAAGGCTGGTACCAAACGCTCTATCAATCTTATGAATATCAATAGCTTTAGTTGCTACCCATCGATTTTGATAGATATTAGAGCAATTCAAAAATGGGAGCGGTCAATTTGTTTATTAAATATATCTGACTTCGTGCAATCCATTTGGGTTATAGATGTCGGTCACTTTCGGTCGGCTATGCATTTTGTGTAATGCAATAAGGGGTGAGAATGGGAAGGAGCTGGGATGGTAGCATCTCTAGTCGCCACATTGTGGTTTTTATTCCTATCGCGAACACAATCTTATTAATATCTTCAAAAAGATAACTCTTAATCTATTTAAAAAGCGGGTAAGGCTTTGTTTTTCCCACTAAATTACCCAAAAAAAAAAAGTAGGGGGTAAGAATGGGGTCGGGGCTGTGGTGGTAGTACCACTTGTGTCCCAGCTAAGGTTTAGGCTTCCATTCTCACTTAAAGCATTCAAAAACCACTAACGATTTGAAAAACGGGTAGGGGTTTGTCATCCTCACTAAATTACCCCCAAAAATAGGGGGTGGGAACGGGAAGGGCCTAGGGTTGTGGCGGTAGTACCCCGAGTCACTACGTTGTGGTTTTCATTCCCATCACTAATATTGTTCCATTAACACCTTCATAAAGCTAATTCTTAATCCGTTTGAAAAAAATGGGTAGGGATCTGTCTTCCTCACTGAATTACAGCAAAAAAAAAAGGGAGTGGGAATAGGTCGAGTTGGATCAGGCCGACTTGGTCTAAGTTAGACCCAAACCTAACCTGAAGTGTGTTTGGGTATGGATTGGGTCCAAGTCAATTGAAGTGGGTCGGGTTGGTTAGGGGTCTATAAATAAACATATAAAAAATTATTTTATATGTTTTATACTACATAAGTAGTATTATCTATATGTAATTTATACTAATATATTTGAGTCGGGTTGGCCTCGACTTGAACCCAATTGACCTAATAAAATCTATATGTGACTTGGACTCAAACCACAGATCAAGTGGGATAGCTTGCCTGAAGGATTACCCCTTACCCTACTAGCCAACATAGCTGTATAAGTCGTGGTCACTTGAGGACCATGTCGATTGCAAGAACCAGAATTAGAAAAGCGAATAGCCTAGCCTTTCCAACGTAGTCGAGTGGTCGTCCCTCCCCTTGTTGAGCAGGTAATCAAGATGCCTTTATTTGGGCAAGAGCTAAACCGTGCCTTTATCTCAGACAGGGGTATGGTAGTAGAAAGAAATGCCCGATAAGCAGTTGATCCAAGAGTTCAGTTGTGTGGTGATCCAATCCCATATTCAGTAGAGGGAAAAGTGGTTCTTTCTATTCTCGCTATCGGTAAAGATACCAATAGTTGTCTATCCTCGACCCTATTCTTTTTTTTTTGTTTAAGGTTATATAGTTTGGACCATGGTGCTAAGCCTTTTAATGTCATACGGCTAGGACGTGCACTACAGTTTAAGGTCATACAGTTGGACCATGGTTATGCAGTTTAGAGTCATGCTACAAGGACTGTGCAGTTTAAGGTCGTGCTACTAGACCTCCGCTACAGTTTAAGGTCATATAGTTTGGATCATGCAGTTTAGGGTCGTGCACGAAGGTCATTTAAGTGGGTAGGGAATGTGACTCCATGGGGAACGGAGCCGTAACTGGAGACTTGACTCCCTAAGGATGCAAAGTAGTGGCTTGCTTATGGGGATGACAAGTTACGATCTGGAAAAAGTGGGAAAAATCCACAGTAGACAACACTATAGCATGCACACGGCACTAGCATAGGAAATGTAAATGGTGCGGCATACGGTGTTTAAGCCTTTAGTGAGGTCCACGACGATAACACTTTGTGAAGCATGCGACGATAGCTCTTTGTGAAGCATGCGACGATAGCTCTTTGTGAAGCGTGCGACGATAGCTCTTCGTCAAGCGCGCGACGATAGCTTCTGGTGAGGCATGCGGTGATAGCTTATGGTGAGGCACGCGATGATAAGTCTTTGTAAAGCGTGCGACGATAGCTTCTTGTGAACCTGCGGCGATAGCCTTTGGTGAAGCGCGCGACGATTGCCCTTTGTGAAGCGCACGACGATAGCTTTTGGTGAGGAGCGCGACGATAACATCTGAAGGACGCATGGCGATAAGGCATAACGATAACAACAGATGACAGCAGGTTCATAAGGCATAGGCGGCAACGATTCATATTCGGGCCTCGGGCTTAACTTGCCCCGGTCTGGACCTATCGCTGTCTGAAGACAAGGACTTGGAGCGTCATTTCGAATTTGTGACGGGCACTTTACAGCACTGCAGACTGTTAAAGGGGGTATTTTACTGTTTTGGCAAAAGGTAAAACAGTGAAGTGAGTATCAGAGAGAGCCGGAGCTTCTGTCGAGCTTCGAGCCAAAACTTGCAGTGTGTAGGCGTTCAGGAGCTCTTCATCGAACTTGAGCAAGTCTTGAGCCTTGCAGAGTGCTTTACAAACATTTTTAGAGAGCGTCAAGGCCTCTCGAGCAGGGAACAAGAAGCTTCACAGGGCTTCTCCAAGGCTTTTCCGATGAAGAACGATGACCATTGAAGCTATCGTGAGAGAAATAGTGGTGCCGTCAAGTTGCGACACTATCTTCGGTGTGCATAGGGAGTCTTTGGTGGACTTCTAGCGGTCTTGCATTTAGTGGTAGGGAAGGAGAAGGTTCAGTGGCTTTGCTGTGATTTTTTCGACAGATAAAGGGGTGGGAAGAAGGGAGAAGGGAAACCCGCAAGGTCACAGGGGAGCTTCTACAGGAATTCCAGTGGTTTTTCGTTCGCTTCGGTCACCGGTGGAAGAGAGGAAATACACGAGGAAGGCTATCACGGCGAGTAGGATTGGATTCCTAGTGAGGAGAAGACACGCCGGTGAGAACTCGAGGCATCATAAGGTTGAAACGGTCGGGGAGGTGAAGGGTCATGGGACAACAAGAGTTCACTCTTCGCAAGCGCGGTAACAGGCCTTGTCGCGAGTGTCAGGCGGCGTGCCCAGATTTCAAGGGACGTGGTGTGCCGCACATGTGACGTGTGTGAACAACCACACTTTGTCTTGGTCTTTGCGCGGTGCTTCTGCCTTACTTCGACAGACGGCGATAACCCCTTAGTCGTGAGACGACGGTAGCTCTGGCTTCCGCGCACAACGATAGCCTTTTTTGTTGTGATATGGCGATAACCCAACCTTCTGCGCACGACGATACTACCTCAGTGGGCAGACGACGATAGCCCTTACTGGCGTTATGCCTTAAGTGACCAGTCGGCGATACGCCATTGCGAACGCAGCTGACGCTAAGCCTTATCGTTTTGTGGAAGTCTTACGCGACCGGCGATAGCCTTGCCTTTTGCGCATGGCGACAAGGCTGCCTCTTAGTGACTTGCATGCGACGGTGAAGCCTTTGTTCTAGCTTCATGGCCCAGCTTTCAGGCGCCATTCCAGATGTGAAGAACCTCCCATGAGTAGGGGAGCTTGGCACTAACGAATTCACCAGCAAAAGCTTGGTGAGGGGTGAGCCAATCTGGCTCACTGAGGCTTTGTGTGAACCGAGGTGGCCTTTGAGCGTCAACTCTGCTAGTGACCCTGTTCGCTTTGAGGTAAGAGAAGACAACAATGGGAAAATAGAAGAAGGGGTAGGCCTCCTCCACTGTTTGCATCAAATATAGCCCCAGGCGGGGAGTTGCTGACCCTAGGCAAGAGAATGGTGAAGACCTCGGGCCTGAAGTGGTCTTCTTCTAGTCTCCGAGTGCAAGGGGAGCACCAGTATCTGAAAGGGTATTCATCCTGCACTGTAAGGGTGCTAAGTCGGTACAAGGATATTTTGAAGCGTGCTTCCCTACTGGCCGTCATTCAGTACTCAGCAAGATACTATGACCGTTGTTCAAACACGGTCAAGGTGCTTTTGGAAACTTGAAGTCATGCCAGGAATACATGGCTGCTTGGTCATGGGGAAACAAGGATTTCTCTACTATACCTGTACTTCATCGGTGGGCTCCCACTCATCAGTGCTATGTATGACGCGTTCGTGCCCCCGAACTCAGTCATATTTGGAGGAAAACGGGTCCGTAAAGAAGACCCGCCAGCTTGACTACAGGAGTTATTTGGGGTTTACCAGCTGCTCAGCTCTGAGTCCAAGAAAGGACGCATCTCCTTCACCCAGTGGGTGGCATTCTTCTATGGGGACTGTGATGATGAGGCTTGCCCAAGCCCACGAAGAAAGGGGAAAGAATCAATGAAGGGAACCCCTCCAATATTTGAGCTTCACCACGGGAACGACCACATCCTCTTGGCGGGGTATCTGGTACTCTTTCTGTGTAAGTTTCCTCTTCCCGGAGGAGCAGAAAGTATATGTCCAGGCAATTTCTATGTAGCCTGTGACATGGTGAGGGGGCGAGAGTACGCGCTCGCACAGCCGGTCTTGTACAACATCTATTATGGCTGGGAGTCGTGTCCAAGGGAAAAATGTATCAAGGCGACAAAGGAGGGAACGACATAGTGGATGGCGAAGCCTTCCCAAGGGACTTTAAGATGCCTTTCCCCATCCACTATGTGTATGGCTGGCTCGGGGCTTATTTCCCCAACACCTACCTCAAAACTAGGGTATTGGATGAGATAATGTGCCTGTTTCTTCTGAGGATTGCTAGGCAAAAAGCAATCTTCCACACTCCTGGTCATGCACGTAACTTGTTATACAATGACCATCTTCATATGAGTAGACCGGCCTTCCCGATTGGGAACGTCACAGATCGTGCTTTTGCTGATGAGCTGAGCAAGAGCCTGGATGGTGGTCCTACCACCCATGAGGAGCTGATGTATATGCTGAGTGTCAGAGGCGAGGTGCTAC